AAGCAGGATTGTCCAGGCTGGGGCGCTGGGATACAGCCGGGCTTTCCTCTCCCAGCTGTGGCCAGTGAAATACACTCGAGTCTCGCTGGCTCGTCGTGCAGCTCCTGTCTTCCCCGAGGCGAGTCACTGTCTGGAGCGGGGCTGTCCGAGGCGTGCAGGATTGTAGCAGGCACGCTTTGCCTTTAAAGACGCAACGGGCTCCCTGCTGTGAAAGGATGCCTGTTCTCTTCAGCACTGAGTACCCATAGAGGCATTCCCATTGGAGATAAAAGAGGTGGCTGATAACATTCTCCTGCCGTTAACATTCCTGTCCTGTAATGTTTCTTTATTCGTTGCCCTCCTGTTTAAGGCCTTGCCTATTGTTAACTTTTTAAAGACCTTTCATAGTCTGTTGCAGAATCCAATCAATGCTTTCCCCACCCCCAGTGATCATGAACTGTTTCCCTGCTGGCCAAAGTCTGCCTGGTCCGTCGAAAATCAAATACTAGCCCTATAGATTCTGTAGAGCCCTATATGTAAAGTCTCTGTGGTTGATCTTGGCACAGCTGGCTTGTTCATTGTTTGACATATTGATCATTCATCCGGCTTTGCAGTATAACCAAGCCAACTGCTAATGCGGGGCCTGGTGACTGGTATCTGACCGTCCCTGGACCGAGTGTGTTCATGCAGGTGCCTGGGGCATTAGGAAGTTTCCTGCCTGAGCTGTTCAGGGGCAGTGACTTTGATCACAAGAGCAGTGACCTGAGTTGAGGAGTTCTCAGCTGCTCAGCTCCCACCCCTGGCTCAGGAGAGCGTAATCCCTTGATCCCTTGCATGAGAAACCATCCCAGACTGCTCCTCAACTACCCCCCCGCCCCTCTTCCCGGGAGTGAGACTTTTGACCTGACTTAAATCAAGCTTAACACCCGATTATGTGAAGTGGCAGGGGTCTCTTAATTAGGAGCCGAGCTGTCAGGAGTCATTATTCTGCTTAACCCAAATAACTGTGTCTCTAAGCCCGAGTCACACAGGGTGCAGTATTCTTGCCTCTGTAGCTGCTCGTCTCTGGCTGGGCCTCCTCTCTTCCCCTGCGTGTGGGCACCCCTGGGGTGACTCTGCCTGGACTCTGTCTGTACGGCTGCCTGTGGTGTCTGGATAACCTCTGTAAGTCAGCTCTGAATATTTTCTGTGTCGATCTCGCTGTGGTAGATATGCAAGCCGTCTGTCCTCCATTGTCTTTGTATGAAATTCGATCGCGCCGGGGTGATGCGGAGGAATTTGGCCGAGTTAAAAACCCGCTTTCCCGTCCGAAAGGCGTGGGTGTCCGTTTTCTCAAGGTGGGGGGCGGGTAAGCTCCCCTGGCGTGGCTCCCCGAGACGGGGATCCGACAGAGCTGGCACCCTGTCAGACTGGGACATCGCCCGAGCCGAGCCCCGCCCCAGTTACAAGCTCTAACCCCGTCGTTTTAATTGTCCTGC